AGAACTCATGTGGCTTTCTGGAGCAGAGGAGCAGTCACTACATACAGGAGAATCCCTAGACTGATTTCTACATACTTGCCTAGACCTCACAAGCCTAATGTTCTGCTTCCTACCATTTTGTACAATTGCTCGCAGCTGGACTATTCGTACACTTAGTGTTTAGTTATGCCCACTGCTGGCCTGGGTGGGCTCTGCCACCTTCCTGCATGCAACAGATCAGTTTGGCATGAAAGATGCCCAGCAAATCCCAGCTAAGTACAGTTCTTCAGTTTCTGTTGACAAGCAACATGTCAGCCTCTGGGTCCCTGCTCACCACTCACACCAGCTTTTGTGGGTTTGGTTTCAATCATTACCCACATAAGGGGACCTGGAATGCTCTGAGTACTAGTGAGGATAGATCCATCCTCTCAGTTTCAAAAAGCAGAGGGAGATCCAGAAAAGCACAAGACTAAGGTGAGACTGTTTCAAATACAGCAACTTCTGTACATGTTGTGAAAGCCTGAGTGACCCTACAAGGAACTGCAAGGGAATACAGTCACTTCAGCCATGATGACACAAGTGTTGAAATAATTCCCTGAAAAACCTAAAAGAGACAAGAAGCCAGCCTCTGCAGCAGAGGTGGCTGAAGTTCCACTGATGACTTGATGGAATAGCTTCTATTCTATAACATCATCCCTTCCTTTCAAAGTGATTTGCTTGGCTTGTGAAAAACAGTTTCCTTTTACACACACACAACCTCACACACCACATTGTCCTCCTCCTCCTCGCCTCCCATCCCTCTCCAGCACCATCCTTCTGGTCTTCTTCAGTTAGGAAAGCAACAGGGACACAGTTTTATTGAAGCTAATGGCAGTGCAAGGCTCTGGAATGAGTTTATCCACCCAAACTCTCACACTGAGTTTTGGACTGGAGGGCAGTCTTGTTCACAGTCATTTTAAATATGGTGGTCTCCTAACAGAGCTTACAATACAGATCCACTCAGGATCCAATAAAAGCCTCTTCTCTCCACTGCAGCCTTCCCCAGTCAGAGGGCATCATGAGCCTTTACAACCACTGGAAGAGGTGTACAAGTAGATAAAGCCATGGAGAAGAAAGAACCTCTTTTCAAGTAGGCTCAATGCCTTTGACCAGATTAGCCACACCTTTGCAGGGAAGTCAGCTGTTAATCATTGACTGTAGTACAAACAGGCACCTTCCATGCTGGCTCTGCAATCTCCAGGTGCAGTAAGGGAGTTCTTCCCCACAGGCCAAGATCTCTTGGAGGGAATGCAGAGAACCAGAAGAAACACCTGCTACAAACATAACAGCTTCAGGTATTTATAAACTTGCATACAGCTGTCCTGTTTCAGAAGATTTAGCTGTGGTTAGCAAAAGAGATGAGAACTTTCTAGGGTGAACAGTCACACTGGGCTTCTGCCTTTGGGTCTACATAACTAGTATCTAGACTGTCTCCATTTTAAATGCAAAGTAAGCTATCCAGAACCACCTTCATGTCCCATATGCCTGTTGGTTAGAGCCTGGCATGGTGATTTGCCATCATTCCAGAAAACAACACATGAACTGAATATATTTGGCTGCTAAGAAGGAAACAAAAGCTTCAGCATACTGAAGTGTGCTCCTAGTCAAATGTATTTGGCAAGGATGAAATACACTTTCCTTATAGTATTAAGGATCCAGACATAATGGGAAGCAAGTCAAACAAATTTTCAAAAATAATGGACCTCCCTTAATGTATTAGGACTGCACAGTCATATTTCTGAGAAAGTTTGAGGAATAATCCATCTTTTCCCTTGAGAAGCAAGGAAGCTTTAGTAAAACCACAAGATGCTTGCACAGAGATGCTGGATATTCTTTAGAAAGCTATCACCAAGCCATTATGCAAAGTACCAGTGAAAGAGTAAATCTGTAGAACTCACTGAGATCCCACTTTGAATTATTGCTGGACCCAAGTACTGCACGGGAGGAAAATATGCTTCTACGGTAGAGTAACAGAAAGTGTTACTAAAGCAAACTCCCTTAGCAGGAGATCTTTTTACACAACTACTCTAAGCCCCATGGCAGCACGAGATGGACATGAAGAACTTTAGTTATTTTTTGCAGGTTTTTTTGGTTGGTTGGTTTCAAGTAAGTATTAATTTAATCTCCAGTGTGTTTTCAGAGTTTATCTCCCTTTTAGAGATACTTCCAATGGCAGCAAAGAATACCTGGTTTTCATGTATAGGCTGTAGAGTTGTAAAGCCAGAACCTTTCCTCTTTACACCTCTGTAGATCTGATTGTGAAACTGGTCTTACCTACCTTTCTTCTGGCTTATGCTCCCATTGCTGTAACTCTCCCTTTTGGGTAAAGGGTGTTGCAGGCACAGAGAACATGAATGCCTATATTGCTTTGGGGACTGGGGCTCAGAGCACAGAGAGGACACCAACAGCTGATAATGTCTTTGTTTATCTCTAGCAGGGTGGAAGCCAACATGTCTTCAGTACAAGAGGCATCCTCAGCTCTGGAAGACCTAAAGAGACTGATTGAAACAAGTGATTGGGCTCTTGGAGGGCTAGTGGTGATTGGCACCTTTTGTCTTGTTTTTGTTGGTCTCCTTTTATTTGCTGCCATCTTTGGCTGCTGCTCATCCCCAAGGCACAAAGTGGGGTATAAATAGCAAAACTCAGACACTGTACTTGGAGCCCTACGCTAAGCAAGAATCAGCCCAGCTACAACCTATAATTGTGTTGTTCATAGAAAATCATCTTCTCTCATACCCTCTTCTCTCCCTGGATGGTTATTTCTCCCCATGCAACTTCCCTGAATCAAGAGAAGGCACCACCACCAGCAAGCTGCTCTGCAAGTCTACAACAAACTCAACACCTCTCTGCTATCTGCATTCAGAAACTGTGTGACTAGACAAATACCAAAGTCAGCTCACATCTGCCTGATTTTCATCTTTCAAGCAAAACCATTGGTCACAAGCAAATGGTCAGCTACCACCTAAAACTAATAAAGATGTCTTCCACTGATGCAGTTACAGGGTTTTTTTTTCCACCTTGCAAATGGGAAACAAGAAACTCTGACCAGCGAAAGCTTTGCTCAAACACACTCCCCAGAACAGCTTATACCATTGCTCTCCTGTCATACTTGGACAAATGCCTAAATATACTATGCAAAAATCCTTGCCAACATGCAAGTCTGTCTTTATTTGTTCCTATTTAGAACCTTGCAAGGTCAGTTTCACTATCCAAACAGTGAAAGCACACGTGAATAGAACTGTATTAATTGAAAATGTAAAAAATAAATGCAACATACTGTTCCTTTACATAGAATCTTAGTCTCCTGTAGTTACAAAGAGGGAAGCCAGTGAGTGGTGCTGCAATATGTTACTCTGGGATATGTATACAGCATGTTATAAAGTAGGAACAATGTACCAGGGTGGGGGAGGGAAGAAAAAGTATGGAAGAGGTGATTTCTAATTAGGGCAGAGATACTCTGCTACAGAAACCTCTCTTACATACCCAATGAAATCCTGTATCTGTTACTATTCATTTGAGCAAAGGAGAATGTTTTCTTTCTGTCCTTGCCTAGTTACTGCCTCATTGCTGATACGCAACTCTAGAGAAAGTCCTCACTTGAGACAGCAGTCAGGCTCTTTACAACGTGCATGAAGTAGGAGGTGCAATAAGACAGTAACATGGAGCCCAACTCATGCCCTCCCTGGGGCATCACCCTGGAATGTCCTGAAACCCCTGCTTCTGGTTTGTGCAAGGTTAGTTCAGTGATCCCAGTCCAGTTCTTATGGCACTAGCGTCCATTCCAGGAAGTGACTGTCCTGGCTAACTCTACTGTTATAAACAGCTTAGGAATCAAGGAGAAATAGATACCAAGACAAGGCTTCCTGAGGTTAACATCTAACCAGATCGATACAGCTGCCCCTCAGATTATACAAATCCCAGACACAAACAGCCACCTGGCCACTCTTACTGTTAGCTAGTAACACGCACCAGAAGGAGCAGAGCTGCTTAAAGTAAGTAGATCAAACTAAACAGCAAGACAACTCCCAGTAGCTACTTCCCAGAATCACCTTGACCTTGGGCAGAGAAGAGCTCCTTCAAATATTCCAGGACTCAGAATTGTGCCATACTTTAGTACAAGCAACACTTTCTTGGAGCAGCCCCATAAATCAGGATTTGTTTACCAAGCACGACCACAAGGAGAGCACATGCTAACCAGGGCATCAGAAAAGCATCACATGTCACAATCACACTGAAGAAGTTGTCCCAGACACAGGTGTGAAAAATGAAACAAAATGCAGACTTGAAAGCAAGACACATGTTGACTGTTTTCAGCTAGTGAACACAGACTGCTCTCGTACTGGCAAAATTATAGCCTTGATGTCTTATCCAGCATGGAATAGCAATGAGTACAATTACAGTTTACAAGTCAGAACCTAAACAATTCACATTGCTGTTGCTACTCTGCATTTAGACTGGGGACATCCATAATTTGGGCCTGTTTCTGAAACATTCTAGGCACCATTGGCTCCTTCTAAGGTCAATAAGAATCATAGATACCTCATTCTTTGCAGAATGGAGCCACTGAGGTTTAGAGAAATATTAAATCTAAATGCTTCCATCCCATGCTGATTAGGCTGCCTATCTCTTTAGAAGAGAGATAATGTAGTGAAGAAGGAAAGAGTCAAAACAAAAGCAAATGCAACTAAGTCAGCCCATCATCAAAGACAGAGCATAGTAAAATTCATAGCCAGAGGAATTACATTTTAATATCACCATATCACTTGGTCAGGCTCCAAGACCAACATACCAGTTACCTGAGAGGTGGGAGTGAGAGAGAGATGTCTCAGGGACACCTTCCTCAGTTCAGACAGCAAAATATCAGGCGATTCATTCAGTATTTTTTTTCCTGGACATGCAAGATCTCAGGAATAACAGTGCCCTGGAAGGGACAGAGCATGGTTTCCCCAACACTAAACAGTGTTTGAAAGAATTGCACTCACCCCAGCTCCTCACAGAAGTTCACAATGGCATCAAAAGCTGTCATCACAGCTTTGTCAGATTCTTTTAAGGTGCCTTCTTTTTCCTGAAAGCAGAAGGGGGCAATAACAATAGTCTTAAATTTAAATATAAACAGATAAAGGAACTCTAGTGACAACTAAATCCAACCCTTCTCATCAATCCAGCAAACACCTATAGACACCATCCTGCCTCTGCTCCAGTCTTATGCTCACCCATGCCTCTCTAATAGAGCTGAAGCTGTAGCCCTTTCCCTTTCTGTTTCATTCCTCAGTACTGTCCCTTGAAACAGGGCTACTGACAGCTCAAGACCCAGAAAAACTCACTTCATCTTTGCACATTCTGCAGGCAAACCAGATCAGAGCAAAGGCAGCAGCATATCTAGGCAGGTGGGTACTCTTCTGCAGATCTTACCTGGATGTTAGAGAGCTCCTTCTTAATCAGAAAGCTGACTTGATCCCTCTCATGCCTTGAGTAATATAGGCGACAGCAGGATGGCTTCCCATCTCTCCCAGCTCTGCCAGACTCTTGGTAATATCCAGCCATTGACTTAGCAATATTCCAGTGGGCAACAAATCTGCATGGGATAAGGCAACAGGAAACATAAGGCTGCAGGTTTCTCAGATCACTTCATATACAATGGTGTTATTTGTGGACATCAACAACAGTAAAATATAGGGCAGCAAAAGCATAAAAGACAGGGTTTAGCAGAGCAAGGGATTTTGCACACAGAAATGTAAGTCCTCTTAACATGAGACACAAGGAAAACAGCTGGGCTATAAGAAAAACAACACACCAGAACAGCATGTGAGCAGGATTTTACTTTAAATGGATGGAAAAGGATGAGCATGTGAATATCCCAAACATGCATAGAATTGTACAGCTATGAAGACTGAGAATAAGGACACTGAATTACAGAGTTTGGGAGATTTTACCATGAAGTACAGCATTAATAAAAAAGTCCTATTTATTTTGTGGAACACAATTTGAACATTGCAGAACACCTTTTGAAATAATCGATTTTAAAGACATTTTTTCTGCATGGGAAAGTCTGTCTTACCAAGCTGACTTGTAGATGAAGGCATCCTTCCTTCCTTCCTAGCCAGATAATACAAGTATAGAATCATTGCTAAACTTCATATAATCTCTGACTGTTTTCAACACACCACTTCTTTAAACCTCCTTGTACCTGACTATTTGGCAATTCAGCTTATACCTGCACTGACAGCATTTCACAGGACAGTAATGCTGCCAATGTTTTAAATCCCAGCCTGCCTCCAATCCAGCATGTCCCAGGGGCAGGTATGACACAAAAAGGTGTGGCAAAAGAGTAAAGGACAAAAGCAGGCAAACATGTTTGAAGAAACACAAACACTCCAGAACAGGCCAGGCAAGGAGCATCAGAGCCCTACACATTTAATCCCCATCAGAAAGTTTACTGAAGCAATTGATAATCTCAAGCAAAACTGAATTAACAGAAAGGAGCTGATTCCATCACAAAAAGAGACACCACCCATTTTCCCTTTTGTGTGGAAAAGTCACCTCCAGAAGTTGTCAGACCTGATCTTAGTTGATATATGTATGATTGCTCAGAACTCTGCCAACAGAAGGCTAAGCAGCAGTTGCTTGTTGCCTAGGCTCAGGTATAATATCCTTTAAACTATTAAAAAAACATCCTGTAAAAAGGCATTTTAATTGCATTCCTTGGCAACTAACCAGATTATAAGCATGTTTCAGCTACATTTCACTCTCAACCAGCCCTATGCATTTCAGTTACTCTGCTTTTTCTAACAGCCACTCTCCTGAACAGGGCAAGGTGGCTTCACCGGGTCATTAATTCAGCTACTGTCCTAGTAAACTTCTCATTTCTCTCTTGGGTCACACGCATCAAGCAGCAAAACAGTCTGTCACTGCTATGTGATCTTGTTGCCTGGCAACACAGGGACACAGAAGGATGGCACAATTTTGAACTGCTGCGACTGTCTCACTGCTGTCCTGCCCCTCTCTCACAGCATTCAGAGCAATCACTTTATGTGGATTTCAGAGTAAAGATTAGGTCTGTGTGGGGCATTGAGTGAGCTGCACCTGAATTACCCTCTGCTAAGCGATCACAGCTCACAATGCCAACTCAGCACAGCCATAGTGCAGTAGAGGAATTCTAGCAACACAGAGCGATTATGGTGACAGAAGTCCCAGAGGAACAGCTGTTGAAACCATGTGCAAAGTTTTATCCTTGGACTAGAGCTGTATTTTGATATGGTTATTGCCATTTGTGAACTGCTTTATTCTTCCCCCCATTGCACTGCAAAAGGAGATGTCTAAAAAAGAGTTGGCTCTGATCATTTTAATAGAGGGTGTATGAATTATTTCAGGTGCTCATATTCTTCCCACTGCTTTTTAACAGCAACTACTGCACTAAGAGAAGTGAAAGGGACAGCTGTGACTGCCTCAAGATGTCTTCTTTTGAAACCCTGGAGGGTATGGCAAAAAAAAAAATAAAATTCCTCCAGTTTTCTTGGTTCGGAAGATGACTGGCACAGAGGAGCTCTGTTGGCTTGTTCTTCATTTCTTTATAGAACCCTTCCAGGTTTGTTTTTACTGGTTCTAAGATAAAAACCATCCAGCTCTGTTCCTGTGGATTTAGCAAGTGTTCATCGGGCATTTGAATCGCATGTATCAGGTAACAGAGAGACTGAGGCTTTCCCTTCTCACTGCTCAGGTTTCAGACTCCGGCAGGGCACAACACTCAGCCTCACATACCTGACGTTGGCTTTGTCTACTCCCATTCCAAAACTGATGGTTGCAACAATTACAGGGATCTTCTCCTCCATCCACTCATTCTGGATTAAAGTCCTGTCAGCTGCCTTGAGTCCTGGGAAGGAAAAAAGAGGGAAGAAAACAACAGGGAAAGAAATAAATTAAATTCCTTCTCCATTCCCCCGTTCCAAGCCAATCCCTGACGGAGACAGCAGCAGCTGTTTCGATTCCAAAGAGAAAAATCCGATTCCTTCCTGGGATAAAAGCAATTATTATATTTAGGCTGTGCAAGATCCAACAAAACCAACAGCTCTGGAGTGAAAGGAATGCTGTCCTGTGGAAGACCCCAAACTTATCTTACATGAGCATCAGACACATTGCAGACCATGCCTAGAAAACTGCTTCCTAGATAGCCCCAACCCAGGCCTTAAGGATTGTACAGTTCTACCACCTATTGAGAGACGCAGATGCAGCTTCCTGTACCTGCATGATAAGCCTTGGCTTTCACTCCTCGGTAGCTCAGCTCAGTAGCCAGCTGGTCACACATATCCCGCATCCTGCAGTACACAATGCCACAACCGGAGTACACCTGGGCAGACAGGAGAGAAAGTCCACACAGCCTGAAGCCAATCAACAAAGCTGCAGTATTAGGATGGCAGAGACAGGAGGAATGTCCAAAGCTCATCTCTTTACAAGCTGATTCCCTGGCAACTGAAAATACTATGTCAGCACAAAAGTATATCAAAGAGAAAGACAGTTTCCTTACAAGTCCTACAAGTCCCAACATCAACCAAATCTGCTTCCTCAATCCTCTCCCAGTAGACAAAAGGCAAGAAGCAGTCTCCCTCTGCTGTCCAAATAAACACAGGTGCAGAGGCTACAACCGAATAGCTGAGAGTTATTTTGGGAATTAATGTCAGAGCAGGAAATTCAACACGACATTCAAATGCTCCTGTTCATCCTCACTGTCGTGGTTTAAACCCTAGCCAGACAGCTTGTTCACTCACTCCCAGTGAGTGGTGCTGGGCTGAGAGAAATAGAGGCCCCCCCCCCGCCCCGGGGCTCTCCCCTTCCCTGCTCCCAGAGGAACAGGGAGGAGGATCGAAAGAGTGTAACTCCCACGGGTTGAGACAAGAACAGTCCAGCAACCAATGTACAACACAAATCACCACCGCTACCACCACCAACAACAATGATAAGAGAAAAAATAACAAGGGAAGAGAATACAATACCACCGGCCAAGAAACGAGTCCGACCCAGAAGCCCGTGTCCTTTCGGGTAACTCCCAGCTACCCCTCACCCCGGGCATGACATGCTGTGGTATGGAATACCTCCCTGGCCAGCCTGGGCCAGGCGCCCCGTCCCTGCTTCCTCCCGGCTTCCCCCCCTCCCTGGCAGAGCATGAGCCTCACAAAGTCCTTGGTCAGGGTAAACATCACTTAGCAACAACCAAAAACATCGGCTTCACCAACACTGTTCCCAGGCTGGAAGCCAAAACACAACACTGCACCAGCTACCACGAAGCAGAAACATGGCTGCTACTGCTGAACCCAGGACATTATCCACCCCTTATTCCATGCCATTCACGTCATGCTCAGATCCCACATTTTCAATACACCATCGCTCTCCCACGTATATACATCCATATAAACACAGACCAAGAGAAAGAGATCATTTTCTTAGTGCATGGACCAATCCCTATAATGCTGCCAAGTCCATTCGGTCCATGATGTCAGGTTCCATCTCTTGTAACAATCTTTCAGGGCAGGAAAGGCTGTGTGCAGTATTGGATCGTTGCCTGCTGATGCTGGTCGTTCCTTTACTGCAGAACTCATCAGGTTCTATCAAAGTTCATTCTCTGTTGGGATGATGGTTGGAGGGAAGTCAGGGCTAGTCCCTGGTGACCTGGAGACATCTAGTTGATGGGCTATAAAAGTATTACACAGCAGGCAACAGCATACAATTAAGTTCATTGGCTGTTTTCCTCTAAAATCAAATCCCCTTGAGGTATACATCAGACTTCCCCATCTTCCCGCATTACCCACCAAGTATATCCAGGCTCCTGAGCAAAAGCAATCCCATGAGTGGGTTTGCCTTTACCTGAAGCCAGAATAACCCAGACTGTCTTCCCCAGCAAATTCTTCATATGCACCACGGGAACTTGTCCCCCTCTACAATATGTAAAAGTTCTGACTGGGCTGAGCCAGCCCTGTTGGCAGATCCTCTGGTGTTGACCAACCAGGTGGCCTTTGGTAAGTGTGTATCCCAATGCTTGAAAGTTCCCCCACCCATTGCTCTCAGTGTAGTTTTTAACAGCCCATTGTACCGTTCGATTTTCCCAGAGGCTGGTGCATGGTAGGGGATGTGATATACCCACTCAATGCCATGCTCTTTGGCCCAAATATCTATAAGGTTATTCCGGAAATGAGTCCCATTGTCTGACTCAATTCTCTCTGGGGTGCCGTGTCACCACAAAATCTGTTTCTCAAGGCCCAGGATGGTGTTCCGGGCAGTGGCATGGGGCACGGCGTATGTTTCCAGCCACCCGGTGGTTGCTTCCACCATGGTAAGCACATGGCGCTTGCCTTGGCGGGTTGTCAGCAGTGTGATATAGTCAATCTGCCAGGCTTCCCCATATTTATACTTCAACCATCGTCCTCCATACCAAAGAGGCTTTAACCGCTTGGCTTGTTTAATTGCAGCACGTTTCACACTCATGAATAACCTGGGCAATAGTGTCCATTGTTACGTCCACCCCTCGATCACTG